CACTGTCGCCTCACAGCAAGAAGCTTGCTGGTTCTTGGTTGGGCCAGTTGGCATTTCTGTGTGAAGTTAGCATAAGGGTTTCCTTCAGGTGCTCAGATTTCCCCTAAAAGTTCAAAGACATGCAGTACAGGTGAATTGAATAAACTAAATTGTTTACTATGTATGAGTATGTGTTTGTTTGTTTGTTTGTTTGTTTGTTTGTGTGTGTGTGTGTGTGTGTGTGTGTGTGTTTGTGTGTGTGTTTGTGTGTGTGTTTGTGTGTGTGTTTGTGTGAATAAGTGTGTATGGGTGTTTTCCAATTCTCGGTTGCAGCTGTAAGGGCATCCACTACGTAAAACATAATAGTTGGCAGCTCATTCCACTGTGGTGACCTCTCTAATAGAGACTAAGCTGAAGAAAAATGAATGAATGAATGTCACCATACACTATGGTTGCTGGGTCTATTGACTTCCATAGTTGCATCTTCTTTAGGTGTACCTGGAAAATATGCGTGCATCATGTGCTCCCATGTGCCCGTCAAGCAATTCACACGCCTCCATTGGAAATGACAAAATTACAATCGATGGCCCTTTCACACAGGGCGTCAGCGTCACTGAATCTGAATTGTGGGCCTATCGGCGTTTCTTCAGCGGTGTTGCACGCTGCAGAAGTTGGGAATTTTTTGAACTTTTTAAGGCGTCAGCCAATCAGATTGCTTTATGTAAATACCGCAGCTCAGACAGTAATCTATTGCAGACTTATTTCATTGACTGACGCTGCTATGACTATCATGTCAAAACTAACTTTAGACGAACCCTCCATCAAGCTAAAACCCAGTGTGAATCGGGCATAAGCTCATTGGCATTTATTCTAAGGCGCACGCTCAACGGTCACATTTTAATAAAACCATAGCCTTCATACCAAACCTTTTTTTTTTTATCCCTATTGACAATGATGTTTGGTCAATAAATACCAATATCGATTTTATTGGCCAGCCCTAAAATGACATGAGGTATACGTTTAAGGTTTAAAGATCACATGTTTGTGGTCTAAAAAGGTTTGATTAAAATACTGAAACATTCGTCATGATTTTTCTGTGTTGTTGTAACAAGACATAATTTGTTAACTTACTTGTGATTTACATCATATCTGATGTGTTGGATGAGTTCAAAACTATCCTGAAACTGAAATTCCTGAGAATTAGATGAAAGTCATATTGGTTTGGAATGACATGAGTGTGACTAAGGATGACATAATTTGAAAAGATAAACTATTCCTGCAAGACATTAAGGTTATGATAATATAGCAAACAATAAAAGCAAAGGGTAAGTAAATAATGTTGGGGTTATTATAGGCTCTACCGTCTGGTTAACGCAGAGGGAACCACTTTTACAAGCTGCCAGTTGGGTTTACGCCACTGGGATTTTTCCGTGCGGTTTCCACGCCAACGCTGTAGAAGGCCAATAAGCAAAGTAGCCATTTTTACAGCCACGACGTAAAAAATGCAGAACACCCATTAGGTGAAATAGACCACGTCAGAGAAGGTGCCCCGCTCTGCGTCATGGGTTTCACTCTGCTGATAGTTTAAAGGATTCTGAGAAAAGGGGGGTTCGGGTGGAACCCCCTGCTCAAGGCGTCTATTCTTTTTCCTACTGAGTATTTTCGAAGAGGTCTCTATAACTACCCCTTAGGCCTGGGATTTGTAACATAATAGTAGCCAGCCAACGTAACCTCAAAAGAGAGCTTGATTGAATATTTATTTATACTATATAATGTTGGGTGGGAGTATGGGAATGGAAACAGGCTTTGCATACATGAACAAAAGTGCTTCTCACCTGTTTTGCGGGTTGACCGTTCAGTTGACCCTAATTGGAGAGAGTGTTTGTGTGTTTAGGGCTTCCTTGTACCAGTAAAGGAAGACTGCCAATCTTTTTCTTTTTTCGTTTTTTTTTTTTGTGATGTATGAGAAAACTCATCACACAAGCCACTATTGTAAACTTTTTCAGTTATATAAGTTTTTAAAGAGAGATTTTAACCCCCCAATGTTGGTGTTCTTATATTACTGCCATTCAAATTTAATACCATTGGGGTATTCTTCTTTGAGGAAGAATTGTGTTCAGGAAAAACTTTAATGATCAAGATCAGTGATCACTTAAACATCTGGTGATATCAAATCAGTAACAAAATACAATAACAGTAGAACTCATGGCTATGTTTAATAGTAAATGTAGGAGCATTTCCACTTAGACAATGTGAAGTGAACTCAAGAAATTGTGACTAAAAGAAAACCATTTAATCATTGCGGCTAATCAGAGAGAAAAGGCTTTAATTTGTTAGGGAGCAAAAAGAATGGACTAGCAATAAATGAAGTTCATGTGGTTTAATTAGTTCAGGTTTACCCTGTTCCAGAGTAATGGATGCATTAGGGTAAGAAGAAAGTCGGATGAAGTGATGCACCCATTCTACAATACAAGCCGCGGGTTGGGGCAGTAATATGAATCATGCATTTTGTAATTGGTCAGGTCTAGCATCCGCAATGTTGTGTGCCCAAGGAATAAGGTCAGCTGAGTACCTGAATCTATAAAATGACCAGGTTATTTCATAAATGTATATTTCTTCCATGATGGCATAAGAATTTTCCAAGATGACAATGTGAAGATTCATTCATTCATTCATTTTCTTTTTTTGACCTATACCCTTTATTTGTCAGAGGTTGCCACAGCGAAGTAAACCGTCAACTTATCCCGCATATGTTTTACACAGCTGATGCCCTTCCCAACAGTGGGAAACACCCAAACACTCTTACATTCAAACATATACACTACAGACAACTCGGCTTAGTCATTTCACCTATACCACATGTCTTTGGACAGTGGGGGAAACAGGAGCACCCAGAGGAATCCCACGGAAACAAGGGAGCGTGCAAACTCCACACAGAAATGCCAACTGATCCAGCGGGAGCACGAACAAGTGACCTTCTTGCTGTGAGGCTGCACCACAGTGATGCCCACAATGTGAGACGTGTAAAAAAAAATTTACACATAGATTGGCCACCACAGAGTCCCAAACTTAACCATATTGAGAATCTTTGGCGTGTGCTGGAGAAGATTTTGCGCAGCAGTCTGGATCATTGCAGAACATATTGAAATATTGGGGTGGCAATTGTCTGCCATAATCAAATGTAAAGGCAGCCCAATGAAATATTACAAGGGCATTGTATAATCCTTATGTCCTTTGGTGATTTGTTTCAGATGTTCTTTCTGACTTATGGTGGGTTTTGTATAAGTTAACAAACAGTGTTTGTGGTGTTACACCATGGCCAGTTGGGAAAAGGTTAACATGCATTCCACAGTTAACAGGACTGAAGACATGAGCCCCTTTCACACATACAGACCTTTCCGGAAAATTACCGGCAATTTTCCGGAAAGGTTGTATGTGTGAACAGGATCTTTTAGAAAATACCGGTAAATTCGTTCTGGCTATTTTCCGGAAAGAGAAGTTTTAACATTACCGGTAGTTTGCCGGAATGCTGCGCTGTGTGAATGCAGAAGGAAGATTGCCGGAAAGAGCGCGTCCACGTCTAGAACGTGCTGACGTGAGACACCTGCTTTAGCCAATCAGAACAGTCAGACGCATTCATGTGCGCGCGGTTTATGAGAATAAAAGCCTTTGAATATTTTTCCAGACACCTTTAGCTGCTAGATGTTAGTCAGATAACGTTTCTATGTTCCTTCTTAATGCTAACTGTGTAAATAATTATCGATAAAATGTTTATGATAATCCGTTGTTTGTTTACCTTCAAGCTTTGCGTGTGCCCGTGAGCGCCCATAGCGCCAGCACACACACACATATTATGAACATCTCGACATGTGAAAGTGTTCCTCTATATGTTTTCATTGGAGTTGTACTCTATACTGATCCATCCAAAGAGTTTGTAATGTAGTCAATTGTTTACAAACACAAGCGCAGCCGTTTAGAGGTCATTTCTGGTTAATGATGTCAGAATTTACCGGCTTTTTGCAATGGATCTGTGAATGCTCTTTTCCGGAAAAATTCCGTAACGTCCTTGCCTGTGTAAACATCGCTTTTTTGAATATACCGGTAAAGTCGTTCCGGAAATTTTCCAGATATTTACCGGTATCACTGTGTGAAAGGGCTAATGGACTTCTTTACAAATAAACCAAACACTCTGTTGCCCTCAAAGACACAAAATAAATATCTGAACTGTTCTACATGGCATAAAAGTCTTTGAGGGTTTAATACGGCACTCTAAATATTCACTTAGTTTGCAGTATTAAATTCATGTTGTTATATTAATATTTCTCGGCAGAGCCCTTACTAGTCAGCACTGATCAAGTATTGCAGGTAGATTTACTTATACTTTATAATACTATATACTTTGTTTAATATGTTACTTTATTATTATTGTAAATATTTCTCTTATTGTATACATATTTGGGCATTATTCTGATTTCACTTCTTGTACATTAAATCACTTTTGTTGGCAGTTTTGTTGTTTGTGTCTTTTACTTTCACCCATCATCTTGTAAAAGTACCACAGCTTTTAAATATTTTTACTTTTACCCTAGACTAACATCAAAGAGGTTGTAACACATGGTAAAACACATTGATCTTATTTATGTTCGAGCAGCATGATGCAAAAAATAAAGAAAGAAATCATATGCTGTATGCATCTAATTTGTGTCATCAAATGTAATTGCAATTTTTTTATAACAAAAGTCTCAAACTGGATCCCTGGAGAGCCGCAGCGCTGCACAGTTTTGCTCTTACCCCAATCAATTAGACTAATCAAGATGTTCAAGACTACAAAAAACTATTAAGCAGGTTTGAGTTGGAGGTTGTTGGAGCAAAACTGTGCAGAGCAGCGGCTATCCAGGAATTGAGTTTGAGACCATTACTCTATAATATGGGATATTTAAATCAAAATGTGTAATATTGTAATTCAAATTAAATGTAAAGCTTTTATTAGTGTTACTAATTAATCTTTTTCTCCTCCTAAGGTTCAAACAAGAAACGAAACCATTTAAATCAGCGGGTGAAGAGGCCAGATTACAAAGTGGCATACGTTCAATTGGTAAGTGTTATCCTATTGGGGTCCTCACTTGAAAGTATCCGACATACATTGTTAAAATCTCTGTTTGTTCTTGTGGTTCTTTCTGTCCATCTTGATTTTCAGAACGTAGGTAGTTCAAAGTGAAGGGTGTCAGCTGAAAAACAAAATTTCGAGACCTTTTTGATTATAGAAGTTTGGGTCAGACGCAGTTTTTTTATTTTTAAAGAAAACAACCCTTGAGAAATGGGATGTTTGGGCGTTTAAGCTCCGCATTTTTATTTTGAGGGCCCATCACAACTTATGTTCCCTCAAAAAAACCCTGAGGCACAGGTACTGTTTGATGCAAAAACCTCACCTTATTGTGGTGGACTCCCTGAGTCCCAGTGCTGCTTGTTTAGTTTCTGTCTCTCCCACACATTTACTGCTATCCTCCTGAGAAAGACGGCAGTTTGGGTTTTGGCTTTGGCCAAGAAGGCAAGAGGTCGTCTTTGGTTACATGCCAGACTTTGTGCAGGAATTATAGTACAAAGTTCTCAGAGAGCTATGGTTATTATCATGGGCGGATGGGATAGTTGTTTTCTTGGGGCATCAGAAAGTTAATTTTGGTCGCGATCCAGTGGCCAACCACACCGCTGGGTTCACACCTGCATTTGGGCTGAGCTCTAGGCTGTTGATATGGACTGCGTTTGAAGTATGCTGTTGCGAAAATACCCTAATCTGATCTCCCTTGATACCTTTGGGAAAGCTGCTTTTGTTTTATTACGGTTTTTAGTTGGCAAGAGAAGCATTAAATTGTTTGTACTTGTTTTCGTATCAATCAAGGCAGGGATAAATAATTTAATTAGTCCAAACAAAGCAGCTTGTAATGGGAGACATAACCAAAACACAAATTAATATTTAAAGGTGAACTTCCTCTTGACAACAGTCGAGTGACTTCCTGTGTGGCTTTGTGCTGTCAATTGAACCTTCTCATAAACCTAGTTAGGGACTTGGAACCGGCAAATTACTGCATCCTGTTCCTAACATTTGTCCTCTTTTGAGATACAGTGCCATATTCGATTAAACATTTCATGAGAGAACTACTTCCTTGTTACGTTTTTCAAAAAGCCATGATTATTTATGTGTGAATAACACTAGAGCTAAAAAATCTCAGACTGCTGTGAAAAACACTGATATGAAACCAAATTTCCGGCCACTTTCTTCTCCTGGAGCAGGTCTGCAAAGAGAAAAACACTGCCCAAGAAAAGCCCTCCTTTCTTTTCAGTGGTGGGTAAAAACAAGATTGTTCCTAATTGACACCACATGTGGGGGAGTGTTCTGTGGTTGGATACCCTCAATGGTTCCCCCGCCAGCCCATCCCCCCTGCGCACTACATCAGCTAATATTCCAGAGGCAATACAGCGAAGAACACTCACGATGACTCCCCCTTCTCTGAACCCCCCATATTTTACAAACTCCAGGCTTGTAGAAAAAGCCTTGTGTTAGTATGGTTTCTTGACGGCCACTCTCTCATCAGACCTCCCCACGGTGGGGAGGAGTGCGGGAGGAGAGAGAGTTCATCAAGGAGGAGGAGGGGGTTACGGATTGAGTCGACACATGAAGCGAGGTGAGTGAGGGCACCGTGGAGCTGTGCCAGAAAAGGGAGGTCCAGACAGGGGTCAGGAAAGTCTTAAGCAACATAAAATCTTAAGACAATATCAAGGTCTTGCGTTTGACCGCTTTGCATGTAACGCTCTAGTGAGATGCAGTGATATCCTGTGCTTCCCTTTGCAAGACCATGACCGTGGTGCTGGTATAAAGGTTATGTTTTTTGACGTCGAGTTTGTAGTTTCCCTGGATGGCTGGTATAATACGCAGAGCATGTTATTACATAGAGAGTCCCAGTCAGACTCAAATGCTCCTTGTATCTTCACTTACAAATTCATTTCAGTACTTTCATGCAATTGAAACAAAAGCCAAGATTCCTCAGCAACACTCATGTTTGCTCATTTGTTGACAGCAACTGTTTATATTCGCCCTTCTGTAAATTGAAAAAGGGTCTTGTTTCAAGCATCAGTGTTTGGCAACACAAGGTTCTAATGAATGTTTGTTGTTGTTGTTTGAGAGCTTGTTGCTGAGTCGTTGTTTTTGGGGCCTTGTTTCGGTCTGGATCAGCTGGTAGCCAGGCTACCTTTTAGATGAGATCGCAATGTTCCACCTGAACTTGTGAGCACACTCTGCTCAATTACCACCGAACAAAACCAAGTGAAACTCAACCTCACTAAAGCATACTATTATTTTTTTCTATTCAAATCGGTTGCTTCCTGTTACAGACATCTCCCCCATGAATGACCTGCACACATTAACACCCTTGCAATTTTTGCTGTTTTGAGTCAGTCGTGAAGATGGAAATTGCGATCTTATCAACACTAGGTGGCAACGTTTTGCTTCAGTAATGTTTCTTGAGAGACCCTCAATAATCATTTTTTTCTGTTTAGAATATTGTAAACATAAGGAATGAAAAAAGAATTCAATACACAAATTAGATGCCAGATTTAATTTGAAATAATGATTTAAGTGAGAGTCAAGGTTATGATTTTAGAATGAAATTGGTAATAAGTAAATTTGTCATATGGAGAAGTTACATTTTTACAATAAGTTTATCATTGTACTATGTACAGAAAGAGGACTGTGCCAGGTAAGTGTAGTATGAAGTTTATCATTGTACAGTAGAATAGAAAAAGTACAAGGATAGTTGGTCATTGTTGGGGGCAAGTTTGGCATTATGAAATAGAAAAGTTACTAGTTAGGTTTGCCACTGTAGGGAAAAGTACAGGGTAGGTTTGAAAATGTACAGCGTTAATTGTAGTGTGTCATTGTAGATGGCATTTATTTCAATAAAAAATAAATCAATCAAACATTGTCATCATTTACCACATTACTGGTTTTAGCCAAAATTTATTAACATTGATTTATATATTTTCAATTTTTTAATTACAAATGTACAGTATTCAGCCACCAAAAGGACTTTCGTAAGGCTGTGTGCAGATGAAAGAAGCACAGCATGAATAATGGAAAGGCCAGCGGGGTCTCTGGCATCCTGTTTGAAGCAAGCACACACACTCTGTGCTCCCCAGTGTACGTCCACTACGAGACAGCCTCTGTGAGTGCCAGCAGACACAAGCAAAGAAGATGATATTGAACTGCTCCTTCCACATCTACTTCATGCCCTTTACGAGCTGTCTTATACTTCCTTCAAGTCATTCCAGTTTAGTATTTCGAACACTTAGCATCATAAAATCCACTGATTGTACTTACTGTTTTTATCTGGCTCTTGACACCCAGGCACCACACAGCTTTATTTTGGTATCAGTTTCAAACAGCAATGCTTTTCCTGTTATGGTACCACCTCCCGGTTTTCCTGCTTCTTCTATCTCTGACTCTTGCTTTTTCTTTCCTCCTCTCTTGGATTCAATTTGTACACTGGAGTTTGAGGGATAGGTTCAGTGTTAAGTCTATGCAAAAGTAGGGCTTACAGTGCATCCGAAAACTATTCATAGTGCTTCACCTTTTTCACATTTTTTCATGTTACAGCCTTAATTCAAAATGGATTAAATTTAGTTATTTCCTTAAAATTCTACAAACATTGATGATTAATGACAATGTGAAAAATACATAATGACAATGTGATTTTTTTTTTTTAAATTGTTGCAAATTTATTAAAAATAAAAAACCTAAAAAATCACATGTACAGAAGTATTCACAGCCTTGCCATGAAGCTCTAAATTGAGCTCAGGTACGTTCTGTTTTCATTGATCATTCTTGAGACATTTCAGCAGCTTAATAGAGTTCACCTGTGGTAAATTCAGTTGGTTGAACATAATTTGCAAAGGTTTACACCGGTCTATATAAGGTCTCAGGGTTGACAGTGCATGTCAAAGCACACCCAAGCATGAAGACAAAGGTATTGTATGTAGACCTCCGAGATAGGATTATCTTGAGGCACAAGGCTGAAGGAGGTTACAGAAAAAAAATCTGCTGCTGAAAGTTTCAATGGGCGACGCAGTGGTGCAGTAGGTAGTGCTGTCGCCTCACACCAAGAAGGTCGCTGGTTCGAGCATAGCTGGGTCAGTTGGCGTTTCTGTGTGGAGTTTGCATGTTCACCCTGCATTCACGTGGGTTTCCTCCGGGTGCTCCGGTTTCCCCCACAGTAAAAAAACATGCGATACAGGTGAATTGGGTAGTCTAAATTGTCTGTAGTGTATGAGTGTGAATGAGTGTGTGTGTGTGTGTGTGTGTGTGTGTGTGTGTGTGTGTGTGTGTGTGTGTGTGTGTGTGTGTGTGAGAATGTTTCACAGAGGTGGGTTGCGGCTGGAAGGGCATCCGCTGTGTAAAAACATGCTGGATAAGTTGGCGGTTTATTCCGCTGTGGCGACCCCGAATTAATAAAGGCACTAAGCCGAAAAGAAAATGAATAAATGAATGAAAGTTTCAATGAGCAGTGGCCTCCGTCTTCCATAAGTGGAAGATGTTTGGAACCACCAGGATCTCTTCCTAGAGCTGACCAACCATTTAAGCTGAGTGATCGGGGGAGAAGGGCCTTCGTCAGGGAGGTAATCAATAACCCGATGGTCACTTTGTCTGAGCTCCAGCAATCTTGTGTAAAGAGAGGAGAACCCTACAGAAGGACAACCATCTGTGCAGCAATCCACCAATCAGGCCTGTATGGTAGAGTGGCCAGACAGAAGTCACCCCCCTCCTGGAATTTGCTAAAAGGCATTTGGAGGAATTTTAGATTATAGAAAACTAAATTCTCTGGTCTGATGAGACTAAAATTGAACTCTTTGGAGTGAATGCCAGATGTTACGTTTGGAGACAACCAGGCACCGCTCATCACCAGGCTTATACTATCCTTAAAGTAAAGCATGGTGGTGGCAACATCTTGCTGTGGGGATGTTTTCAGCAGCAGGAACTGGAAGACTAGTCAGGATAGAGGGAAAGATGAATGCAGCCATGTACATAAACATCTTGAATGAAGACAT